ATGATAATATTCTCCTTCCGCGCAATAGAAGACTCCGAGTCTTCTATTGTGTTCCATTGTTTTCAGAATTTTTAATTAAAAGGATATTTTAGAAAATCAAAACGATTTTGAGAATTTAGGAAGATATTCTTAGGATTTTAAAAGTCCAGAAACAGTGTTGATCTCAATCTTTTAGGATTTTTAGCTTAAAACCTCGAAAAATAGGCATATTTTAAAGTAAATATATTAATTGAAGTTCCAATTATTTTTGAGAAAGTAATTAATTGAGGGGAGAGGGATCTTTTATTACGTGAGGTACATCGTTCCTTTAAGTGAGTCTTCTAATATATGACAATCTTCTAGTACAGAGCAGAATATAGTTATATACATACTACTGATCAAAAATTCAACTTTAATGAAGAATTTCTTTCAAATGATAGTTGTAATATTGCAAAAAATGTGAAAATCTTAATATTTGAATATATTACTCTATCTGTCATTGCACTATTTCAAAAACCATTGGAAAGGCATGACGAATATTTGAAAACTATTGACTTTATGACTGGGCAAACTTTTTATAAATAGGCGACTGTATTTGCTAAAGGAGAGATTGCGGATATATATAGTGTAGGTTTTGATGTTAGTAAGAGCTAATAGAAGATCTACATCCTCACCCAATATGAGCATCTACAGTGACTGATAAATCAAACGTTTTATAGTTTAATCTTCCTCTTATGTATGATTACGTTCCTATTGCATAGTTAAGCGTACAAAACTGTAAAGAAACCATAAAATACAGCTCGTTTATCCATTTAGGTTCGTCAAATACCGATTAGATGCAAAAAAAAAGATTTTTCGCAAAGATGGTTTCCAAAAAGTCTTTATAAGCCCTTCAAAATATGTCTATTCGATTTGTTATAATTTTTCACCTATTCGAGTGAACTTTGAGTTGATATGCACCAAAAATATGTATTTAACTTGAAAATGACCTATCACAATTTTATGAATATTCATAAATGTTAAAAAATAGTTTTTCGTGATCAGCAGCTTACGTTCTATGTATAAAAAAGACGAAAAAAAATTTACCTTGAATTTCGAAATACGTGGCAAACTCAGCTTTGTGATGTTTATTTTATGACAGAATTATTAACCTTGAAAAAAAAAGGAAAAAGAAAGTGATTATAATGATTCTCGACATAGAAAATGCGATCGATAGTTTCTTCTGCTCATAACTTTTTACGACATAAATATAATGCAGAAGAAAAAAGAAAAAGAGAAAAAGAAATAGTTTACATACACTATGTGAAGTATAGCGAATTTTGTATTAAAATGGCAATTTATTCTGTCAAATAAAAATTATTTTAATAATAAAATACATGGTGGCCCAAAAGTAACGTTATTCAAAGAAAAAAAAGTTGAATATCTCCATTACAGTTCGAGCAAAAGGGCTGATTTTTTATCGCTAGTAAAGGTATATTCACACCTCATATTCATAAAGACAAGGCAAGAGAGAACCTTTTTTAAGTATCACTATTGATTTCAAAAAAAAAATTTTTTACTTTTTCACCGATAGGAAAAAAACAATATACAGGATGGTGCAAAAGTTACTTTACCGAAAAAAAATTGAATATCTCCATTACGGCTCTAGCAAACGAGCTGATTTTTTTACTAATGAGAGAGGTATATTCAAGCTTTATATCCATAAAGACATGCCTAGAGAGACCCTTTGTTACATATGTTGGTTTTTTTTATCTGTGAAAAAGTAAAAATTTTTTTTGTTGAAGTTAATAGTCGAACTTAAAAAAGGTTCTCTCTTGTCCTGTCTTTATGAATATGAAGTGTGAACATACCTTTACCAGCGATAAAAAAATCAGCCCGTTTGCTCGAGCCGTAATGTAAATATTCAATTTTTTTTTTCTGTCGGTAATGTTACTTTTGGGCCATCCTGTATTTCTACAATATACTATTTCGACACTTACTATTCATTTATTTGAAATAAGTCTATCTTTAGTTTGTTTGTTTTTTTAATAATTCTTGTTACTCAAGTTAGATCTTGACTTGTATTCATCCTTAAATTTTTTCATAACATCTTTGAGGTTCCATAAAGTACGTCTAAGCAAAAATCGTCTTTTTTAACCTTCTTGTCTGACTGAAATTGTTCGCTTTTGATTGATCCTTCTATTCTCCTGGATGTCTAGTTTCCAAAAATTTTTTAGAAAGAGTCTATTTATTCGAAAAATACTGCTCGACACAAATTTAGCTTGAAAATTTCACGAAAAATGCTTTAATAATCGAAAAAAACTTATTAGATCAATCACTGCTGGAGTAAAATGTGAAACACGACGTAGGCTAATATTGCTAATCACAGGGAAATTATTTTATTCTATATATCTTCGGATACATTTCTTCATCCTTCTATTACTTAATCCTCCAGAAGTGCAATAATGAAGTAGTTAATACATTGTAACGAGTCATTGTTGATATACGGTTTACGATCATATATCAAAAACGCCTATCATAGTCTCTGACTAGCGTCTGTGGAGGAAAGAGAGGAGCCGAGAGTCTAAATTCCTATCGTCTATACTCCAACATTTCTTGTATATTGAGTTTCACAAAGTAATTGTTATAAGTGTCTGGACGTTCAGATGCGTCGAATTTCTCCTCCTATCCGATTTTCCTGTCCCTCTCCTCTTTTCTTGGGCGTCATTTATGGATGACTCATTTCATCAATATTCTATTTAGCTTGTCATTTAATATTTATTAATTTTTTTGTTCTATATTTATCACTTACATGACTATCCTCCGAATAATGTCTTAGTGTCAAATTTATTTGATTTTGTTCATATTTCACATTATTAAAACATGCGAGAAGTATATCTTTTCTTCCAGCTAATAAACATTTTTCTCCATCGTTACCATCACCTATTAAATCTTGTTTGGCTTCAATGCAAAAACAATTCAAATTTTTTTGTTTATCAATATCTAAGAGTGCATGAAAGATGTTTTTTTTTCGAGATGAAGTTTAAAATTATAAGATTAAGTATATGATCTTATAATTATCTATTGTTTTAGATAATAAGAGATGTTGATCGCTTTTTGTATTCATCTTTCTAATATTGAAAACGAAACAGAGAAAAACATATTAAAATAGATAATAAATAGTTTATTAATACGTCTCTTTCAATATTCTGTCATTGAAGATAAAAAAAATAATGAGTGTTGTTTTATAGAAATAAATAGTTCATATGAATAAACAATCGTTAGTAGTGAAATCAGCCCAATAAAAAATGAAATATAAATCTTTGAACAATTAATGATTTGAACGAAGACTAATTGACATAATCCTATTGTTATTGATATATAAAGACTATGTTTCTTTTATTGCTTGAATAAAATAAAGAAAAATACACATAATATAAAACAACCATCAATGCTAAAGAAGAAATATAATTTAATCTTCTTCTTTTTCAGGAGGAATTTTTTCTCCAGCTGGTATATCTGAACCTGGTGAAATTTGAACTCTTCTACCAATCATTGTCAAGTCTTTTTTCTCCCCAACACCAATTGTTGCTCCTTTACCAATAAAAACGTTTTCATCAATAATTGCTCGTTCAATAAGAGCTCCTTCTTCTACATGAACTTCATCAAAAAGAATTGAATCACGTATAATTGCTCCTGCATCGACAATACAACCTGGTCCTAGAATTGATCGAATAATTGTTCCACCAATAACACAACCAGGTGAAATAAGACTGTTTTCAAAACGAGCTGAATCAAGTAAATGTGCTGGTAAACGTTGCTTAAATATAAAAAAAATAAAAATAAAAAAGTATTCAAATAAATTTATAATATCTTACTGTACTACGTGTAAGAATAGGCCATTCTGGATCATCTAAATGTAATTCGGATTTTTTTAAAATTAAATCCATACTTGCTTTCCAATAACTTTCTGGTATACCAACATCTCTCCAATAACTATTCAAACGAAATTCCCAAACATTTCCTTCTTTAACTAAATTTGGTAATAATTCTTCACCATAATCTTTTAATTCACCTTTATCAGCTAATTGCTCAAGTGTATCCATTAATTTCGGATAATCATAAACAATTACTTCTGTTGTTACAAGATCAGATTTTGGATGTTTTGGTTTATATTCAAAATTAGTAACACGACCTTCTTCATTAACTTGAACAACTCCAAAACGTGATGCTGAATCACCTTCTGGTACTTTTGTTGTAACTATAGTTACATCAGCTTGATGATCTTTATGAAAATCTATAACATCACGAAAATCAAGTTTGTAAACATGATCAGCACTTAAAACTAATAGAAGATCAGGTGAAAAATCATTGAGCAAACGACGTTGTCGATAAATTGCATCTGCATTACCTGTGGCAAATCCGCCATGATCATCATTATCTTTCAAAAACAAATACAAAACATCATCAATTTTTCATTCTATATTCATTATCAAACAAAATTTTCAAGTATTCAATATAATAGACTAGATTATGTTCGTCACAATTAGATACTATTTTTCAATTCAGAGTTGAGTTTAAATTACTTATCCGTAACGATTAACTTAAGCACAACTACATCACTAACATATTCTGTGATTATTTGGAAAGGCGTTTTACCTGTTAGATCACAAACTAGAATACTACAAATCTCTCTATCAACGACAAAATGCTTGTGAATCATATTTTTCATGTATATGTCCATAGGATAGTCAACCACAAAAGACATGAGGTCTTCAGAAAATTATTTCGTTTTCTCATGTCTTTTGTAGTTGATTATCTATGAAAGTATATATCAAAAAATTTGTAATGCTCGATGTGATCGAAGATATATGTCATGACTGCAATGTACCTCTCAGGATTGTTGATTGCTTTAAAGACTATCATACAAAGATGAACTGCTAATGCCTTTTTTTTGTTTGATACAGAAATGTAATTTCTTTGTAAAAAAAAAATAAAAATCATATTTAAACATTTCTTATAAAAAATTTTGATTTTCGCAAAAACAAAGTTGGGACTCAAAGGATTAAAATGTTTCTTGAAATGTATTGATCTCACGAGCATAGATGGACAAAATTATTTTAAGAACATTTTGTCAGTGTTCTCAGTTAAGGAATGACAACTCGAATCATGTATGATTAACTTTAGAAAGATTTAAACTATTAAATAAAATATTTAATTAAAGTTTTCTACTATAGAAATACTTTTCTAGGTGTGATAAATTAGTGAATAGATCAAGTTAAATGATCCGATTTAAATTTTTAACAACCTAAATCGATTTCATTTTTGCTTTATATCGTGAATATTTCTTAGATTAACCTTACTTCAAATAGACTATCATTCATAAATATTAACATTATGGAGATGATGTTACATACGTTATACCATCTGTTTTCAGTACAGAAAAGATTTGCTTTCCATTAAACTGTTATGACTTGTAAGATAATAGCTCGTTCTATCTCATGCATATCTTTTATATGTTTCTTCCTGTTATTATAGATCTTACTCAGATGTTTTTTCCTTTCTTTCTGCTACTATACACGGATGTCATCTCTTCTCCTCTCTTCATTTCATGTATTTTCATAAGACTTTTTTATGTAATCATTTTGAGTTGAATATAATAAATTGATTGAATAACTACTGTTCAAATGAAGAAAAATTTCATCTTCAAAAGGTTCATCTAGTTTATTACGTTTTTAAAATATATATTAAGATTAAAAAAAATCATACCTTGACTTTTTTCATTATTGTTCTTCTTCTTATCTTTTTCTTTGCTTTTATCTTTACTTCCACTTTGATCATTTTTATCATCATCGTTTTTATTCTTATCATGAACTTCAAAAGGTGGTAATACTCGAAGACCTCCATAGGTTCTATCCATATCCCATGGACGTCCATTAGCTAAATGTTCATTAAGTTTAAAAACTTCATATTGTTCAACAATCCAAACATCAGACAAATGTGAATGACGACAATTACTCATAGAAAAATCAATTAAACGAAGAGTTCCACCAAAAGGAATAGCTGGTTTAGCTCTTTGTTCAGTAAGAACATCAAGACGACCACCTTGACCTCCTGCTAAGACTAATGCTAAAATTTTATGTCGTTTATTTTTATTTGATCTATAAAAAGATAAAAAGACGTTTGAAATTATTATAATCAAAATTAAATAAATATTTACGTATCGCTTTTTGGTTGTCTAAGTTTCCGAGGCGTCTTCACACCAACGCTCTCTAAAGTCGAACGAACTTTTTCAACTAAACGAGATTGCATCTATAAAAGAATATTTGAAAAATAAATTCATATTAATAGATAGATTTATTTTAAAAATAAATTCTTCTAGTTTTAATTTTAAATAAATATTCAAAAAATATTCAACTCAATGATTGACATCGCGTAACGATGCTGAATAAGAATAATAAAAACGCATGAGGTTACACAGTAGACAGAATCGATGAATCATCACTTTTATGTCCGACCAATCAGTGGATTAAACAACAAAAATCCTCACACGATGAAATCATAAATATTTAAACAATCCGTATTTGAACAGAATTAATTTTTTTTAATCAAATTAATCTTCAGCAATATCTCAACTAAAAGATGTATTCATTCGAGTATTGCTTTTCCACAATGTTACCATCCATATTATATAACAGTAGAGGGCTACAGGTTACGCTATTTTCACAACCTGTAACTTGCCCTGCTGAGATTTTGACAACCTGACCCTGCCCTGCAAACTTTTTCGCGTATCCTGCCCTGTGAATTTATTTCATAACCTTTTAACCTGCCCTGCCCTGTTTTCTTTAAAACCGAAGAAAATTCCAAACTTTCGTATCAATTTATTATTAAATTTCATTTCAATTTGTTACAACCATAAAGCAAAACCAAACAACATTATATATCTCGAAAATTTCTAACAATCAAAATATCATCAACAATATCTAGGTTTAAAAACTGCCTTCTTTTTTCTAATACTCGATCTGATGAACGAAAAACATGCTCCGATGTGGGTGTGGTATAGAGTATGAATCTTCTCTTCGCATATCCATATCCTATTAAGAGATTTCTTGTTTTTTAGTGTATTTGATTCATCTAAACAATTTTTTAAATGATAGCTAATAGTAGAAGTTTCACTTAATATGGGATATGATAGTATCTCATAGAACAATCGACATTGTACGAACGGTTGATATTCATTATTGAAACATTTAATATATAATAAATGTTCCAAAAATGAACCATAAGATGATGATGGCGGTTGTACTGTAGTTATAAATTCATCAGTTTTAAGTTTTTCTATCATCTGCTTCTTTTTTCGTTCCATATCTTTTTTTGAATTAGACATAGTTGATATTTCACTAGCAAGAAAATCTAACTGATATTGATGATGATATTTGAGAGCTTAGTTAATGATGATAATAAAGAAAAGAGCAAGATAAAACTCAAAATAAGAAAACTAAATGCACACTTGAGTAGCTACACAATGTATAATGGATAGGTTACCGACATATCTGCTTCTATTGAGTATCTTTACGACTAATCTAAATTGATTTTTCAGTTCACTTTCACTTCTATTTTTTTTCTTAGTATATAACTTTAGAAAAGATATCTATAATATCTAACGCATAAAACTAGTCACAGGTTGACAGGTTGCGATACTCGTATCCTGCAACCTGCCCTGTAAAAATTTTCTTAACCTGGTCCTGCCCTGCTCTGCTGCGAGCGTAACCTGCCCTGTCCTGGCAGGGCAGGACAGGTTACCTATACTCTGCAGGGCTCTATATAACAGAATAAATCAATTTCAAATAAAAAAGAATATAACTTATTTAACAGATATTTATAAATTTTCATTATCAATGATTGATATACAAATTATCATTAGATCAGAATTTATATTTTACACAATTATAATAATACAATTAACATGAATACCTTTTTTATCAATGCAAAGACCAGAATTAGAAATGAACCATTTTTAACTATTGACAAATCATTTGACCGGTAACATTAACATACATAGAAAATGAGTCAAGTTTCGCATTAATTAAATAGTATTTTAAAAAAATTATATTAGTCATTATACGGTAAAAGAGAATATTTTTGATATTGATTTCCAATTACCTGATTAATTGATTTATGAAAGAATCTAATTCGATTCAAAGATTAAAACTTACTTTATACTTACATTTTTCTATCAAATAAATTGTTGAAAGTCCTCTGACGAAAGCAACAAAACGTTTTTTCTTCTTTCATTATTGCATCAAAGTTAACAACGAGCCTTTTTCATAAACACGATAAACAAATTAGGCATTTTAAAAAAATGCGTTAGATAACTTTCGAATATTATCAATGATTTTTATATGTTATTAAAATCATAACCAAAAATTCATCAAAAATGTTTATAGAAAAAAAAAAAGATGTATTATAAATCAACAATAGCTTTAGCTTCTCTTAATAATCGTTCTAAATCACCTCGTTTTTCTAAAGCCATTGTATCATCACCACCACCAATACATTTTCCATTAATAAATACTCGTGGTACAGTTTTTGCACCTGTTAATTTTCCAAGTTCAGTTTGATATTGATCAGCATTCGATGATAATTGATCAAGTTCAAGTACATGATAATTTTTATCTAAATTATATTTTGATAAAATATTTTTTGCTTTTGATGAATAAGGACAATAAGATTTAGAAAAAACCATAACTGGATATTTATGAATTAATTGTTGAATATGATCACCAACAGATAAATCAGATGATGATGATAATGATGATGAATCAGATGAAGACCATATTGAACCCATATTAACTTTTCTATTACTTTGATCAAATATATAAATAACAATAACGAAAAAAATACAAATAAATAACGTTAAACAAATACACTCTTTCACACGCATTATTTATCTGTTTTACATTAAAAAAAAAGATAATCTTAGTTTCCTAAGCAAACAGAAATATATCATCTGGCTCCACTGAACTAAACCAGAACCAATCAATCTATAAGTACAAAATGACTAATTATGAGTTATGCAATTGGATATAATATTATTGTCGTATCTTATTTAAAATTCTATTGAAATAATACAATACAACATGGTGAAATTGGATTCAGGAGTAAAAATTGATTAGTATCTCTTTGAATTTATTTGCGTTGTTTTTTTTGGATAAAGATAGTCGATGAATAATACTGACACCTTTCGGAGAAAGAAATTTTATTGATAATGGAATAAAAAAATGAAAGTTTAAATATATGATCAAACAAAAGTTGGATTTTGTTCTATTTGTGATGTTGGTGGACTAGTTGGTGATCCAAATTTTCTTTCAGTTTGTCGAAAACTAAATTTATTTGCTTGTAATTTAGCTCGTTTTCGATAGAAAATAAAAACAATAACTGCAAGACTAAGTATAATAATGAGTATTAAACTAATAGTCGAACCAGGATTTGATGAAGATGTACGATTATTTGATTCAATTTCTTGTAATGGTACTTTCTTTCTTTTCAAACTTTCATATTCACTTTCTGAATGAATAATAAATGATAGAATAAATTATTATTTTTGTTTTGTTTCAAGTATACTTGCAATATGTTCTATTATTGAGGATGTATATATAACTGATGGATATGTTGTTACAGGTATTGACAATGTCGTTGCTGAAGATGAGTCTTTACCTATTAATTTTTTAAACCAGCTTACACCCATCGAAATAAGGTTTATAACAGAAGTTATGATAATAACGACTGTTACTGGTTCTACCATAATAGATTTTATTAGAAAATTTTTAAAGATCGAACACGACAAAAAAAAATTTTGAAGAAAAAAATTGAAAAAGAAAGTGCGCTTTTGTTCGTTTTTTTTTCTCCTAATTTCTTATTATCCACTTATTTATTCAATGATAATAACTAATTTACTGTTTATCAATTGCATGTTTAAATAAATATAGCAAAATCAAGTTATATTTATCTACAAAAATTATCGCTTTAACTATTGCAAAGAATTTAAACAAACATTTATTAATTCGATTTTTCACATTATTTATTATAAACATAAAACGAAATTTCAATTCAAAATTTTGGCCTATTTCAAGCTTACCATGGATATCATAAAACTGTAATAGTAGCACTAAGACATTAATCCATTGATAAGACTGGTGGTTGAAAAATCCACGATGAGAATCGATTTTTTTCATAATCATAGTCGTTATTATCATAGAAGTATTTCAATAAAATTGAAAAAAAAGATCGGTCGCTGTCATTAACTACTAAGAATACTACATTACAATTACTTTGTATAAGCATTTGCTTTGTTTTTATTATATCAATCATACTAGAGCATTTATTGATTTTTTTTTATTAGCGAAATATGAAATAATTTCTTATTATTTTATTACTAATAAAAAGGAATTAGGAATAAAAAGTAAATATATAACAAAACAATAAATACAATATGAGGAATTGGTGTGAGTACGAATGTGAGTCTTCTGTTCATCTACACTCATGCTCACAAATAAAAAAGAGATACAAATATAGAAACTTATTGTGATGTAGATGGCATCCGTTAATAGGTTCTTATGAGCTTACTGGAAATTCTGAGAAATTCTATGGAATCGAAGAGAATCCTTTGGAATTCAAATGAAATCTAAACAATTCGAGGTAATTCTAGAAACATAAAGAATTCCTGGACTTTAAGATTTTGTTATTCAATCCTTGATCTTATTCTAACAATAATGCATAAATATTAAGATTGGTACATGTTGGAAAAATGATATCTAACATTTTCATAATGCCTTAATGTGGAAGCGGAATGAGAATCTACAAATCTTGATTTTTGAATATAATAAAATCAAAATTTTTATCGTATTGAAAATAAGTTGTTTGGCGCTTCTTTCTCTCTCTCTCTCTCTCTCATTCTTAATTTATTAACAATTCAATGATGAATACATCAATAACAAAAACGAAAGAAAATATTTCATATGAGAAAAGTAAATCATCGAACCATCATCGAAAGGAAAGATTATTATCTATTGTGCAGAAGAACAATGATTGGTTATCAAAGGATTTATCTAAAGAAATGACTCATCTATTCAATTCTATTAATAATATTTGTCATCAACAATATGTTACATTAGATGATATATTAAATTCTTCAAATTCAAATTCAACTTTAGGAAAAATTTATCAATTGTTTTTATCGTTAAGAAATAATAAAGATAATTTATTAAATGAAAAAATATTCGAGAATTTCATTTTAAAAAAGACACAAGGCTTAATAACTAAATTAAATCAAAAAAATAAACATTCGATGAATTTTATCGAATTTATTAAACGAATTGATCTTATAGCAAAAGAAAATCATCTTAGTAAAGAATATCTTTATGAAAAAGTAAATTTAATATTAATCGAATTTCTTTCTAATGATTTATTTTCTTAGCTTTTACATCGAACATTTCTCATTAATAATCAAGATCAAAATAATAATGCTCTTGATTATTCTCTTATTTCTCAAAATTTATTATTAAATGAATATAATAATGATTTATCTCGTCTTAAAAATTATTTTATTACACATAGTGAAAAATCAAAAGATAATTCTCATTATCAAATGACTTGTTCAACTTTTATTCAATGTATTTGTCAACATATAAAATTAAATAAAATTGATATTCGTCTTCAATTGAATGCTCTTTTTTGTCAAATTCAATCATCACTAGTTAATCAAGGTCTTTATATTCCTGCTTCTCTTACAATAGATTTTCATGGATTTATTTTATGTCTTCAACAAATTGCTCGAACATTTAATATTAATTTAAGAATTTTAATAAAGAACTTGATTAATACCTAAATACAAAGAAAAAAAACAAAGATAAATTCAATGTGTATCTGTATCATCGTCATAGATCCTGCGATGACTATGTCAATTTACATGACTTACTGTTCTCGTTAGTTACTTTCCAATTTTAATTGGTTTTTTTATCTGGAAAAAAAATATTCATCTGTTATGACTTAAGGTTTTCGAGTTAGAGCTCCTATGTCAGCTCATATTGTTGCAACCGATGCTAACCATTGTTTTTTTTACAGTAAATCAATCGCAATGTAAATATTTGAATGTGAAGAATTCACATGTTTTATTTTATTCGAGAATGTCGATCTTCCAAATAATTAATAGTACGTGGTTTTACGGTGATATAACAGTTGATCTATCGACATAAGAAACAATGAAATAAATACAAGAAAATAGTTTTATTTGAATAAGTTCACATTTAAAATGCAACAGAGCTCTTGCTGGTTTAACATCATAAGTCTCTTGTTATCAAATAAAAGGGACAAAATTTGTTGCTGGAATATTTCATCAAGATACACTCTGTCTTATCTGTCGATATATCGCGATTTTATATTACGTTTGGAACACTTAGAGAAATTTTCGTTGTAACAACACATTGATTATCGGAATGACTGCGCGTTTATTCATTTCTCTTTTTCGAAAGAACAGAACTCATAATCAAATATTTCAATAATTAATTGATTAAAGTATTTACAATTTGAAAATGCATTAAAAATGAAATCAACATAAATTTCTGCATTCCAAATTATTAACACTTTTGTGCTAATCGATCTAATTTTTATTCGCAATTTGAACGCTAGGTGTGCGATACGCTTGAGAGGAGATCACTAATCTTGTTGACTATATAAACGACGTCATTCACATGCTTCAATATGTATGTTTTTTGTTTTCTTTTATTTATTCGTATTAGAAAAATATACAGAAAGAAAGAGCCAGAATGAGCAGCGTTTTGCGTACATATTTCATTATACCATCAACAAAAGCGTCACCTGTTTTTTTTTGCACTTACCAGATATTATTATATTTCTTTTTACTTCGCTCAGAATTGAATTTGTTTTTAATTTTTATTTCGAATCTTCTCTTCTAGTAGATATTTTCAGTCTTCTCATCTAACTCCTATAATATTTCAAATTTTAATCTTGCATACAATGTACAGATAGTTTTTAAATATCATTCAAACATTTATTTGAATATAATCCGTAAAAATCTATCTATCAAAAAAACAAAAAAATAAATTGACACTGTTTAAAAGTTCTTATTTTTTTGTTTGTTTGTTGTTTTTAGTCAAGATGTATTATTCTCCATTAGTTGAAGTAGATTCTACTTCTCATCATTCAACTACGACTATTGATTCAACTGGTAGTACATCTCATATTCGATCTGATCGTAATGATCATTTATGTCGTATATGCAAGAATCAACTAATTAAAAAACAACCAACTCATCATACACCAATTGAATGTCTTAGTCAACGATGCGAATTTTTAGAATTGGAAATTGTTCAACTTAAAGATCGTGATACGAAATCACGTTCACAAATAAAACAACTTGAAGATAAAATAATAAGATTAGAAGATGCAATTAAAGGATTGACAGCACCAAGAGAACAACTCGCAGCTCCGTTTGCTTTTGGTGGTAAAGGGCATAAACATCGTCATCAATTGAAGAAATCAAAGTCTGGAGACATGCCTTTAAGTAAATCCAATATTAACTATGATAATATTTTACAATCAAACAGGCCAAATAGTCGAGAACGTATCGGACTTTTTGGAAGTCTTGGTGCATCATCTCAACAGCATTAAATTATAAATTAATAATCGCGATAAAAACTCTTTATATACATGGGCATGGCCAGTCGTGTTGATACCCCAAGATATAGGATAGGAAATAATATTATTTGAGAGAGGAGTATATAATGAAATTTATACCAAACGAAAGCTCGTCAAAAATGGAACTTATTG